ATCAGCTCTGGCTTAGTCTTCACATTCTTTCTGATCAAAAATTGGCATTAGGAAAAGCTGATCAGCTAGGCATTATGGAATACATTTTTTAAGTTCACTGCTGCTCCAAAGCAGTCAGGATTTCTTTTGATGCTACTAAACTCATAATCGTGTGACATGCTTAGTCAGCATCATGCTGCCTGCTTTCATGGCTCACTGTGCCAGATGTAATGCCTCCCTGGCTACATCCATCAAAATTTTTGCATCTACTGCCATTAGGTTTGACCTGCATATTAGGTTAGGTTGTAACCCAGAAATAAATGAGCACCTGACTCAGAGTGAAATAAATATTGCTGCTGGTTCCCCATTGACTCTATGCCTTCATTGACCAGGAAAAGTTTATAACCACCTCACCACCAAGGAGTAGGGTTGTCGTGAAGGCTCCATGGAGGTTAAATACACAAATTAGGCTCAGTTTAATAGAGGTTAGACTTTACTGATTCCCGATTACTTCCTTCATATAGTAGGAGACCTGGAAGATCATGGCTGCTATTTCTGGAAGAAAGGCCAGCAATCCATTTCTCTGATAGGTGGTAGTGGTTGTTTTTAATCCTCTCATGTGGTGAGGCACTAAGCAGGATCTGGAGGGGCTGGAAGCACTATGTACTGCAGCCACATTCTTATGCTCCTGTTGTCTTCCCACTAATCAGCCTTCCTTCATCATGGGAGCAATCTGAAACTAATTGTGTGATTTTTAGTGGAGAAGAAAGAAGAGTAGGCCCTAGCCCCATACCAGCAATCTAAGCACAAAGCATTTCCCATGTGGACTGGCACAGTGAGTAAAAATCATCAGAATGAGAATATATTTTTGCTGGTAACTTTCCTCCGTGTGTCTTTTCACAGAGATATAATGTGGAAAGGGGCTTGTTTAGGAAAGAACTCAGATATTCAAGGCTTCCCTTTAAAACTCCTTCTTACCCTTTTGTAGCATCCTGGTTTCAGAATAATTGACTGCCATGTACTTCAGTCTCCTATTAGTTGAATTATCATTTCCCCTTTTTGTTTGGATAATTGAATTATCATCTTTCCTCCTGCACCCTGCGCTATATCCTGGTCACATGAATGGATCTGGGCCCTTGATCCTCTACTCCTTTATTAATGCAGGTCACTTATGTCCTTTGTGCCAAACTGAATGACCCTTTAACCAAGTGACTGCTCCATCCCTGCCTATAAGACATCTTTGATCCTCAGGCTTGAGGGTGCATGGGACGGTACCAGCCATTTCCTTTTGTAGACTCATCTCTTAACCTAGGATCCACCAATGGACACATATTTGAGTCTCAGATAACTGACACCAAATCTTGCTCCTGTAAGGTTGCACATGCCTCTACCTGACACTTCTTGGGCTCCTTTTTCTGTGTGTGTATGTGTGTGTGTGTGTGTTCGTGTTCCTGTGTAGTTTGTGCTACCGTGTATCTCAATTCTGTGAAAATCATAGTGGAAGGATTAAGTCTTTGGGGCTAAACAGAAGTTCTAGTACATTTATACCGTTTTAATGTTGGATGTTATTAAACATCTCTTACCAGAAGTCTCTATTTCTCTAAAACCTGGGTCATGAACCTTATTTGGTGGTTTTTGAACATTAAATTAACTAATGTGCGTATATAAAGTGAATATAAATGCCAGCCTTTAATCTGTCTTTGAAGTCACCCCCTTCTCTTCCCTTTCTTGCCTCCTCCCTCTTTCTCCACCTGTGTTCTTTCCTTTCTTTCAATAAAAGTTATTGAGAGCCAGACTCTGTGCCACAAAACAAGAACACAGCTCTCAAATAACTCATTCTAATATTAGAGACAGAGACACACGTCAGTAACTTTAATCTACTCAGTTAAGCCCATAAAAGAGGAGGAGGCCATGCCCAGCAAGGCTGAATTTTCTCACCAACAGATAGGCAGCAACTCCTCTCCAACAGATGAGGAATACAAGGAGTCTGCTTAGGGTCTGCTGCTGAGTGTCCCCTCAAGCAGATATTTGATTATGTATAAATTGTGTATTAGTATCATGTAAGAGACTGCTCAATTTCTTGCCCTCAACAAATATTGTCTCATGTCCTGTGTGTCCTCTAAACATTAATGACTATATTTGTTTTAATTCTGCCTACCATATATATAGCCCTTTATGACATATTCATTGTTTTAGCCAATGAACATGCTTCACTATGCTTCTCAGGCCAATGAAGATCTCTTTACAGGTTACAAAAGTGACTTACAGTGAAATCTTATCATCTGAGCTCTCTGGAAAGGAAGAACAATATATATGTGTGAATGTCAAATTATCTTTTACATATTTTTATTTTCAAGCTCTTCAGAGATGTGATTAAGAGAAGTTGATCCATCTTACTTTCCTTTAAATAAGAAAGGTAACATGCAATGTGACTTGATCTTTGATCAAAATACGAAGTTCCATGAGGTGCAGTGGCTCCCACATGTAATCCCAGCACTTTGGGAGGCTGAGGTGGGTGGATCACTTGAGCCCAGGAGTTCAAGACCAGCCTGGGCAACATGGTAAAACCCGTCTCTGCAAAAAATATAAAAATCCGTTGGGCGTGGTAGGCATGCCTGTGGCCCCAACTACTTCGGAGGCTGAGGTGGGAGGACTATTTGAAACCAGGAGATCAAGGCTACAGTGAGCCAACTGTGCCACACGTGCACACACACCCACACACACACACACATTCCTTTCAACATGGGCAATGAGAAGAGAGTTGACAACTTATGTACAAAGCGAATCTGGAAAATTGAGAGGAACTTACTCCCCTTTTTTTTAAACTCAGTAGCAGAGTTGATTTCCAGTTTTAGCTGGAGAGTTGTTTCATGTTTCAATTTCACCACCTTAAAGATGCAGTTGGTGGTGGTGATTAAGGCATATTCAGAAGAGAGGCCATGAGTCTGCTATGTGCTCCAGAATGGAAGCTCCTCACCAAATCCCAATTCAACTGATGTCAAGACCATCAGGTTACTTACCTTTCCCAGCATTTCCTCCTGGAATAAATGAGCTTCCTTAGTTCTCCTGGCTTACTGCTCAGAGTTTTCTTTACATCATTTTCTCGGACAACAGCAGATGATGATGTGATCTGTGGATATGATTGGTGTTATAAATTTTCTTAGAGGGAAAGTGCTTTCAATTCTTTGTGGGAAGATCTGCCTTTAGGGGAAAGGTTGTGGTAATCGTTTGTGGTTAATAGAGTACTTCCCACTCAAAATTACAGGGTGAGGGGAAAGCTTGATTCACTTAAGAAAGCCAGTAAGTTTTGGAATGGATTTTTGCCAAATGGTAATAATTTTAACAAGTGCCTTCATAAAAAACACAAGATTTGGCTCTCATTGTAGCTTGGTGAGGTAGTTAGAGCAAGAATTATCATTACAAATAATAGAGCAAAGAATTATCATTCCAAAGCCCAGACAACTGGGCTTCTGTAGGGAGGAAGTAGTTTTCTTAATGTCTGCTAGCTAGCATGTCGCATAGGGATCCAAAATTACCTGTGCTAACTTTGAATGTTCTGCTTTTCTTTAAAACCCCATTACTTCCTCAGCTGAAGTAGGTGAGTCTGTGCACTTCGTCTTTACAAGATAACCATCACATAATCTAAATTCAACTTTCTATTCCTTGATTTATCCTTTCTAAAATTAATTTATATATTTACGAAGTAGCAAAATTAGCTTAGGCAAAAGAAAGTACAACATTTGTTGTACTTTTGAGAAAATATAAACCACTAAGGAAGTACTATTATCAAGTACTATCTTTACATTAAGTGGTACTCCAGGTTCCTGAGACAGCTCTGTTACAGAGAAAGCACCCACTGAAAGGTTGCTCTATGGTGTGATGAAGGGAAAGCACCATAAATCCGTCTAGATATTATGCCTGGAAAGAGAAGTGAGGAGTCAGTGCTACATGATGTAGGAAGAGAAGCACGAAGGAAGTAAGGAATGACAGTCTTCTGTTGTGATAACTATATTCAAAATGTTATTGAAACAATCGCAGTTTTTATGCATCAAAGAATTCAGTTGCATGCACTGCCCTAAACAAAAATGGCTACTAATGAGAACTGGGAAGATTAGTGGCAAAGAGGCCCCTTAGTGGTACAGGCTGCTTCCTAGGAAATAAATCACTCAAAATGACTTATTATGTAGCTCCAGTGTACAATATTAAGTACAGCTTCTAAGACATTGTGGTCAGAAGTACCTGAAGAATTTGTCAAAATTTCAGTGTATTGTGCCTTCCTCCCAGGGGTCTGAGTCACTTGGTGAGACCCAGGAAGCTGCATACTAATTTTCTAGGCTGTTCTGTTAGAAGTGGTCTAAAGACCACACTTCCAGAATTTCTAGCACCTAGAATAGTCAAATTCACAGGGACAGAAAGCAGAATGATGGTTGCCAAGGGCTGGAGAGGAAGGAATGTGAAATTCATGTGTAAGGGGTATAAAGTTTCAGTCTAGGAAGATGAAAAGTGGAAATGGATGCTAGTAGTGGGCACATGACAATGTGAATATACTTAATGCTTCTGAACTATATACTTTAGTTAAAATGGTAAACTTTCAGATATACACGTATGTATTACCAAAAATACTCCAAGAATTTCTAACACAAAAGAATGCCATTCTTTAAAACTATTCATGTGTCTGTGCTTTCTATTGTGCTGATAAACAGAATAGATATCTCCAATTTAAAATGTCGTAATTTGTGCTCAATTATGGATTAATATTGTATCACCGTCATCATTTCTTTATGACAGAGCAAAAATCATGGACTAAATAAAAAGATTTATAATACTTCATTTTTGCATTATTGAGAGAACATAGATTTATTGTTTATCCATAGTGTGACCAAATTAATGGGAATTTAGAGCTACTCCATCTGCATTCTAATGACTGCTCCTCTAAATGCTTCTCTAAAATAGATTTATCTGACTTTGCCCTGTCTTGTTTTTGTGACAAAAATATGTATTGATACTCATGCTTTTTTCAGGACAGGGTGTGGGCCAACGTGGGGAAGAGCCTGAACTGCATTATCGCTATGGTGGACAAACTGATTGAAAGAGATGGTGGCAGTGAAGGCAGTGGCGGCAACAATGATGGAGAAAAGGAACCTTCATTAGCAGACGCCATCCCCTCTCACCCAAGAGGTAGCAATCATTTTTTCCAATCATTTACTGCGTAAATAAAATGAGAAAGTCATGATAAAATGAGATGGAGAGGAGTCAATAGTATCTTTGATGAAAGTGCTGATAGCATGCTTTTCCACGACTCCGGCTTGGATGATGGCATGCTTTTCCACGGCTCCGGCTTGGATGATGGAAGGCTGTTTATCAAACTGCATCTCCGTTGTATTTTCAGAACTTCTTTTTTCTTCTTCTTCTTCTCTTACCACATAAAAACCTTGAGAAAAGAACAGTGTTTCTTCTTTTAAGGATCTGACATAGTATAATCTACTTTTACACATTTCTCTGAAATTTTATTAGAAAGATAAATAAGCATCTGCATTTAACTCTTAGAAACTTGGAGGCGTATCAAGAACACAGTAACTCACAGTGGTTTTTGAACAGAATATAATCAGCTAGTATGATTTGTGCATTAGTCTGAGAAATATTTGTGTAAACTATCTCCAAAACATATAGGAAGATTTGATTGTAAGAAACATATTAGCACATTGCTCTAAAAATATATGATGAACCTAGTTTTTCATGAAAATATGCACATACATATACATGTGTATATATGTGGGTGTATGTGTTTTTCTGTAGAGAGGGAGGGAGGGAGGGAGGTGGGTAGGCAGACAGGTAGGTAGATAAGTAGATAGGCAGGTAGGTAGATACTTTCAAATGTATGTGTTGTTACAAGGTTAGCTAGAAAATACAAACAAAATTTTAACTACAGGTGTGTCCCTATAAATAGCTTTGAAATTTTCTTTTTGTTGATTCGATTAATGTTTGATTAATGTTACACAAAAACCAAGGTGGGCTGGGCACGGTGGATCAAGCCTGTAATCCTAGCACTTTGGGAGGCCGAGGTGGGTGGATCACGAGGTCAAGAGATTGAGACCATCCTGGCCAACATGGTGAAACCCTGTCTCTACTAAAAATACAAAAGAATTAGCTGGGCGTGGTGGTGTGCGTCCCTAGTCCCAGCTACTCAGGAAGCTGAGGCAGGAGAATTGCTTGAACTCGGGAGGTGGAGGTTGCAGTGAGCTGAGATTGTGTCACTGTACTCCAGCCTGATGCCTGGTGACAGAGAGAGACTCTTCTCAAAAAAAAAAACAAGGCAAATGTCTACATTCTTTATGGCAGTAGGAACTGCTATTAGGATTGAGTCAGACTCTTTGCTGGATGTCTTAAGTGTTTGGAGAGAATAAGCAATACTACCCTCCTCTCTTCTTCTGAAATCTGCTCTTCCTTTTCCTTTAAGAACATGAGTCATAAGAAAATATGGACATTTATCAAATTAGATTTACATTTCCTCAATTTGTTTTCCTGATTTTTCATTACTTACATTTTTGTCAGGAGTTTAATTATATAAAACATCAATCTTTCATCACTTGATTAACAGTAGAACCATTTCTAAATCATATTTGTAAGCTGTGTCTTTCTAAAGTATTCTTAATGCAGATAGTTTCTCTTCCTCTGTCATACATTTATATAGGTGAAATGTTTATGCTAATGTTCTTTATGTTCACACCTACTTGATCTAACTGTATGTAAAGATTTCCTTTTTTAATAATACCAGTTTTTATTAATGTAGGGATTTCCTTTTTTAATAATACCAGTTTTTATTCATGAATCTAGTCTAGCTTCATAACTTTACATGAATCAGAATGAAAGCTTGTCATAGCTATGTCATAAAGAAATAGCATACTTCAATTTTCTTTAATTGAACATATATTGATTATCAAGTATGGGTCAGACCCTGCTCTCCTCTGGAAAATGAGGTAAGAAGAATTCACTTTAGTGACTTACTATGTCCATTGATAGATTTTTCTAGATATATTATTTTTGAACAGAAATAAGACAAGGGACACTGGATTTTGTTACATTTTTTTGTTTAATATTGCCAAAACTTCTTGCTAAAGACAATAAAATTCCAAAATATTTGAAATTGTACTATGTGTGTGTGTGTGTGTGTGTGTGTGTGTATCTTGTATTTCATCAGAAGATTGCATATGGGCAATCAAATGCATTTTAAAAGGTAAAATATTTGGTAGATAAATCATCTGTAAGATTAGATGAATCATTTTTATTTGAATATGAGACATTGTGTAGAAATAGTGTAAACCTAAGTAGAAGTTGCTGCAAATGTGGAATTCACAACTAGATCAATGTTGTGAATGGTTAGGGTCAAACTACAGCATATTGCCTTCTAATTTATTTTCTTATTTTAATTTTATTATCTGTGTTTGTTTCACTCATCAATTCTTTCTTGTGTTAGAATGTTTTTAGGAGAAGTCACTATTTAAATGTGTAAAATATGTTACTTTTTTTCTGAATATCTCCTCATAAACATTCTCAAGAACAAATATAATTACTGCAAACTAATTCATCAAAAGAGAAGTTATTATTTTAGATTTTTAAGTATTATAATAGTACTGCAATTAACACATAATCATCTTTGATTATCTAAGTCTTTAACTACATTTAAGATAGTTTTCCACAAGTTAGATTGCTAGAATTGGAATTATTTTGTAAGAAAGAGATATACCTTCTCTCTTATGTATTTATTTATCCTTTTTTAAATATCAGTATGGACTCATAAATACTTACTTTATTTTTTACTTAATTTTTAATTATATTTGACACATAATAATTGTACATTTTTATGGAGTTCACTGTGATGTCTCAATACATGTGTATGTATGGGTGAATGGAAAGCTTCTCCTTTGTGTTCTGAAGAGTTAGTGAAAAATTAATCCATAAATAGGCAGATTTATAAGAGAAAAGGAAAATAAATGTACTGCTATCATATGGAAGGGGAGAATCATAGAGTGATTGCCTAATATCTCAGTAGAGTACAGATGGTTATATACACTAAATTTTAGGGGAAAGGTAGAGGAGAGGTAATATGGGTGATTTCAGGAAGATAGTACATGATTTTTAGGATAATTTAATGGACTTGAAGACAATGGTCTGTTGGGCCTGTTGATTTGTGACAAAAATATGTCCAGGTTTGTTGATGACTTTAGTCTTCCTCCTGTGATATGGGTTCAGTTAATAAACACTCAAGGAATGGAACACAGGTAATTGGATTTTTGTTTGTTTGTTTTTGAAGATCTGGACTTTAGGCAGATAAGGAAACTTAGCCTGTGGTTTTGAAGAGGCAGAGGATTGAGAGACATGGGGGCCAGGCAGAGGGAGAAACAACTCTTCTCCTTGGTAGGTCTTCTCTATCTTTATGTAGATAGGAAAAAGTCTGTTCTAGCACGTGTTGATCTCCAAGTGCCTGAAATTCAACATATTCATTATACCAGGGAGCCATGTTTTGGGGTAAAACTCAGTGTGCTCCTTCATTCACATAATATAGTGACCACAACAGGGCAATTAACATATTCATTACGTTAAATATTTACATTCCTTGTGGTGATAACATTCAAAATATTTTCTTCTTGCTTAAATACTTCATTATTGGGTTAATAATCCAATACTATTTATTTTGGACTCAAATTGTTCTGGATTTAGCCACCAGAATCTCTCTTATTCAGACTGGTTTCTGTGTCCTTCTGACAACATCCTCCCATGGTCATTTACTTCCTTACTTTGTTATTTCCCTTACTCATTTTCTTACTGCTTTTGCTCACTGTCTTCCTCTTTGACACTATAAGAAGCTCTAGGCTCATCTTATATTTTCCCTACCCCAGCTTCAGGTTCAGCCAATTTCTAAAGAACCCTGGTTTTATTTTATTTGAGAACAGCATTTAGAAATCAGCATTTGAATGGATAGAAACGTTCTGGTGGTTCTCTGTAACAGAAGGCACTCTAGCAGGATATATCAGCACCCTTCTAATTACAGTCTTCTCAGCCGTAAATATTGTCACTTATTTCATATATACCACTTTGGGTGAAATATCATATTTTAATTTCTTGTTTCTGTGAATCTTGGCATTATATAACATATTACTATATTTCAAAATATTATTTCTGATAATAAAATTTATTTCTTCAATAGCCCCAAATTTATCCCAGGCCATAGTTGTGTTGCAAAAGCCATTTTGCTTCTTTCCTTTTTATAATTAATTAGTGAATTGATTAGGTGAGCAATTTAAGATAGATGGTATTTATTACAATGTAGCATGTGATAAATGCTGATAAGCATTTGTTGCAATATCATTTGTTAGTGATATTATTCTTCATGTTGTATTACTCCTGGTTTTTTGTTTACATATTAGGTTTCATACCTATTTTACATCCAATTCTGGAATTTTGTTTTATTTTATAGGGTTTTGATTATTGTGATTTATGTCAGGATACATTTTTAAATATGGAGTCAGTCAATTCTATGACTGTTTTTCTTGTTTCATCACACTCCTTTATTTTTACAGTGTAGCTATAATTTGTGCTTGTTTTGCTGCTGTATACTTAACATGGTTAAACAGATGGTCATCCGAGTTGTGCTACTTTTATTCACTTTCTTATGTTGTTCTATATCCTACAACTATTTCTCTCTTCAAGTTGCAGATTTTCCTTTCCACAGTATATTAATTTAGTAATATTTTAAATTTGTAGTTTTGAAGGTTTTCTGTTTTTGAGAGCTGAGGTTTTACAGTATATCTTTTACTTGCTTTATAAATTTCTTTTCAGGGTAAATGCAGATAGTGCTGAGAGACATAAAACTTTCTGTGCTGTTCCGAACAGAAAGAATAGAAGAACTATTCCAAAGTTCTACAGCTGATGTATATTTATGTGGTTTCCTAATGAACAAAGATTGTCCTTTTATTTGTGGTACACTCAAACACCTTTCTGAGCATCGGCTGTCTGTGTAGCACTACATGCCTTCAATTTCATAAACTCCGGACTCAAAGACAAAATCAGTGAATATCAGAATCTTAGATTTTGATGTCATCTTAAAGATGATATAATCGAACCTCCTAAAATATGTTAAGAGGCTTATCTACAATACCTCTGCCAATTTTCAAGTAGCCTATGAGGCATATCCTGAGTTACAGAAAACTATTTTTGTTTTCTAGAGCAGCATACTCCAGACTTTGATCCTAATATATTTTCTTTCATTTTACCCGCTGGCCCAGATATAATCCTTTGCAATAAAAAAAAAACATTTACTTTTCTTTCTTTACATTAAGCCTAAGGTATATCTGAAAGCAGCCATCATGTCCCTTTTGAATTGTCACCTTTTCAGTCATTTTTCAAAGGAATAGCTTCAAGCATATCCAATAGTTTGCATTTCTCGGAACATCTTCTAGTTTGTCTCCGCAGTCTGCAGAATCACACACAGTGAAACAAATATGGCTTAAGAGTTGCAGAGTAACCCAGGAGGACCATCTCCCTACTTTAGGTACTTTTCCAATATTAATGATATCTAAGCTCACATTCACTGTTTTGACATCCACATTCTACTACTAATTCCATTGATATCCATAAGCCTTGCTAAATTTGACCTATCTTTCAGACTTCTCAAGATTCAAGCAACATTCAAGCACCACTATGTACTAGACATTATGAAATAATGGGGGCATGAGAAGATTAAAACAGTCTATCCCGATTCTACTGAAGAGATGTTGTCTAAACCCATGCCTGAGCAGTGTAAAACACCTCTGAGTACACTCTAATAAATACCTGTGTTTTTCATCCATCATATCTTCTGACCTACTCAGGATTATTTTATTCATATTTCATATCCATTTCCTGTCCATTCCTAGAAGTAACAGGTAAAAATGATGAGGAAACAGAGCTGAAGAGAGATCCTTAAGGCATATCACTAAAAAGAACAGTATGCATTCAAATACACTTGTTAATCACTACCCTTTGGGGATGTGTGTTCAACCAGCTTCATATTCACCAATTCATATAATTGCATGGCCCATATTTCTCCATCTTTCACAAGCATATCATGATATGCCCTGTAAAAGGCCAAATATCCCATGCCATTGAATTACTTTTTCTAATCTAGCCAGCTGTAAATCCTGTCAAAGATAAAGTTCCTCTGAAGTAATTTTCATTCATGAGCCTCTATAGGCTTCAAGTCATCTCTGCTTCTTTCAAAGTGGTAAACATCCATGCAGATCATAGAATTGGTCCACGTGTCTTACTTAGAATTTGTTTCTAGTTTCTTGGTACTCAACGTTCTTTTTTGCCTGAAAGTTCCCTTTTAACTTGTGAGGTATATTCTACATTCCCTCCTGGGATCTGAGAATTCACTATATTTACTTCATATTTTACTTTATCTCTATCTGCCTTCAATTAACACAATCGTCTGGGCCCATTGCTGTGGCTCACGCTTGTAATCTTGGCACTTCAGAAGGCTGAGGTGGGCGGATCATTGGAGGCCAAGAATTTGAGGCCTACCTGGGCAGCATAGTGAGAGCCCATCTGTATACAAAAAGTAAACAAGCAAACAAACAGACAAATGCACAGCTGTCTGCTGATAGCTACCAGAGATTTGCCAGTGATTTATCACCAGTTATCAATGGCTTGCCAGTGCCAAAGACTTTTCATCCTAAAAGCGCATCCCAGCCTTCAAATAGGGACATGTATAAGGTTGTAATGAATTGCTCCTCATTCCCATCTTTTATCTTTAGTTCCCTAGATTCACTAGCTATCTAATACACTTAAAATAATTAAGCTGGGCATGGTGGCTCACGCTTGTAATCCCAGCACTTTGGGAGGCCGAGGCGGGTGGATCACGAGGTCAACAGATCGAGACCATCCTGGTCAACATGGTGAAACACCGTCTCTACTAAAAATACAAAAAATTAACTGGGCATGGTGGTGCGTGCCTGTAATCCCAGCTACTCGGGAGGCTGAGGCAGGAGAATTGCCTGAACCCAGGAGGCGGAGGTTGCGGTGAGCCGAGATCGCGCCATTGCACTCCAGCCTGGGTAACAAGAGCGAAACTCCGTCTCAAAAAAAAAAAAAAAAGAAAAAAGAATAATAATAATTAACGACTGGGTCGGTGTGGTGGCTCATGCCTGCAATCTCAGCACTTTGGGAGGCCGAGGCAGGTGGATCATTTAAGGTCAGGAGTTCAAGACCAGCCTGGCCAACATGGTGAAATTCCATTTCTACTAAAACTATCAAAATTAGCTGGGCATGATAACATGTGCCTATAGTCCCAGCTACTTGGGAGGCTGAGGCTGGAGAATCACTTGAACCTGAGAGGCAGAGGTTGCAGTGAGCTGAGATCATGCCGTTGCACTCCAGGCTAGGTGACAGCAAGACTCTCTCTTGATAATAATAATAATAATAATAAAAGACTAGAACAATCCACTAATTAATACAATTATATATAAAATATTTCAGGCATTAAGCCTCATGGAAAGACACTAAATTTATGTTGGCTAGAAAAGAAAGAGGAAAATTCTTTCATTCATTCCGTATTTGTTGAGTACTTACCCTGTTCCAGTCACTGTATCCAGAAACACGTCCAGTTACGGCTCTGTCCTTACAGTCTAGTGCGTAAGTTGTATTTGAAGGGAGATAAGTAGTGAGAGATCTTCCAAAGGCATCACTTACAAGATAAAAGACTTAGGAAAGGAAGTCAACACTGGGAGGCATCAGCAGATAGATTAAATTGGGTAAAATATCAAGAAAATGAAGAGGAAAAGAGGAGCAAAATCTTTATTAGCCTTGAGGCATGAGGATTACTCTCAGTGGAGGCGTAAGAAGCATCAAGAAATGAAAATCAAATGCAGTTTGGAGACCAAACAAGGTACCAAAGGAGGGGTAATAATCACATTAATAGTAACACTTAATGCACTCACATTTATGTGCAAGCACTTTGATGAACCTTCACATGCTTTCCTCTCTTCCTTTTCACAACAAGCCTATAGGGGAGTTTCTGGTTTTATCCCCATTTTATAGATGGACAGGTTAAATAATTTGTCCAAGATCACAGAGCTAGTGGGAATCCGAGCAAATATTCGAATTCAAGCGGAGTGATCTCTGTCTGAGATCCTCAGAATATCTGTTGGAAAAAGGAATGATTAAATTTTAAGAGCAGTTTTGTATATAGATTTACCTACCTGTAGGTTCATCCTTGATATCTTAATGAACTGTTTCTCCGATAGTCATGTCTTATGCTTCGCTTATTTGCCAAGCTTTCTCCCTCTTTTACAAGGCCCTAAATTTCTTTACCCCCACCTGCCACCTTAAGGAACTTTGACATCTTCTTCCACCTCACCCTGCCTCATCCTTCGTGATCCAGTCATATTAAATCCTCTGAGAACTCACCTGGTACTTCTCACTCCTGAGCTTTCAAAGCTTTGCCCATCTCTGTCTTCCCCAGGCCCAAACTTCACATTCTCAGGGTGCCTTCCCTGATCTTCCAGCCTAAGGCTTTGAGTATGAGACCAGTATAGTCACACATGGCCTCTCACTCAGCAAAGCCCTGTGATCTGAGACTAATGCTCTGAGTCGCCATCCTGAAATTCCAAATAATTTTATCTTTGCATTTCTTTGTCAGTGAAGTCCAACAGGATGATGAAGCCCATGCCTGGGCCTTGGAGGTTTCCCCCACTTGCAGTTCTGTGGGCTTCTCCAATACCTGCCCAACCTTCCATCTTCATGCCAGCCCAATGATCACTTCCCATGCCCATCTACCAACATGCCTGGGTGCCAGTGCAGAAGAGCCAGGGTGAGGCTGGGTGCCTTTGAGGCTCTGTACTCACGTAGACCAACATTCAAGGGAGTGTGGCATGAAAAGAGTAAATAAAAAGCACCCTGACAGGTCTGGAGCAACGCCACTCAAGGAAAAATCTCATTTACTGCTTTTTGAATAGGTCCTCCTATTTTTATTTTTTACTGGATTCTGTCATTTATGTTGTCACACTTTCTGCAGGGCTTGCAAGCACAAAGGCCCATAGGGGTCATGTGAAGTAATATGAATGAACCAAGTGAAATGGATAGAAGCCAGAGCAAACTATAGATATATGTTCCTCCAGGAGGGGGTCACTGTTCCAGCCTCAGCCAGTCATTTTCATGGAGAACATGGACCTAAAGTTACCATCCCTTCTGATTTTTCAAATGAATCTGAATATTTATGTAAAATACTCTATGTTTTTTAAAGGTTAAAACTTGCTAAAATGTGATAGATTCCAAATAAAATTTGCCAGACCGTATAAGACTGATCTATAAACCACTATTTTGAAACCTTTGAATCTCTGATTTATTGCACATGCCATTTTAAATGTCATTTCCCCTAAGAAAATATGCCAAGTGTTTGTGATTTGTTCTTGAATCTCTAGAACCGAACATAATTAGTAGCAAATAATAGCGGCCCAATATTGGGGAAGCCACACTGATCTACCATTGCTATTGACACAATTGAGTTTTTCTTGATATTAGTAAGTGAATATTGTTCAACATTTATGTAAAGATATTAATATTCTCAGAATTTATGCTTGACAGACAATTATTTCAGTGGTTTTATAGTTATAACAAGTCTTTTATTTTGTAAAATACAAACATACAAGCACAATCTTTTTATCAGAGGGCTTAAATTTTAATATTTTGAATTCTATAAATTTCTACATATGAATGTTCAGAATTTCACTGGAAAAAAAATCAATGAATGAGGCTTTAAAAAATTAATAGTTCTCCAGCTAAAACAATTTTTAGAGTATAATTTAAAACAAACTTAAATACTCAAAATATGCCATAGAAAGTTTTATTGTAAACCTAGAATTTCAGTAACATTTTTATATTATGACATTTTAAAATGTCTATTCCTCCTGGAAAACTAAGGGTATCTACCTTAAACATTGTACAGTGAATTATGAAGTAACAGAGTAACATGGGACTTAGAGCCGGACACTTGGCAAGTCCACGATTTGGAACTTACTTGGCTTCATGGTCTTTGTCAAGTCATTTACATTCTCTGCATCTTACGTCCTTTTTTGGTAAAATAATCTACAAAGTTTTAAGGTCTCTTTCAGTTCCTAAGTTTTATGGTAATAAAAACAATGCCACATTTTTAACTTTTTTCAGTCATTCGACATATTTTAATTGAGTATCTACCATGTGCTAGGCACTATTTTAGACCCGAGGACTACAAAAATAAACAGAAAAGATAAAACACTTGCTCTCCTGAAGTTTATGTTCTAGTAGCAGAGAGATAATACAAAGTATAGGGGCAATGTATAATATAGTAATGATGATGGAGACTGTAGAAAAAAATATAGAGCAGAGTAAAAGGGATTTGATGGAACATTGTAGGGCAGAGATTGCAGTTTCCTGGAGTGGGCAATGTTGGTCTCATTTAAAAGGTGATTCTTGAGCAAAGACACAGGAGGTGAGACAGTGAGCCATGTGACTATCTAGGGAAAGGATTATTGGTCAGAAAATAGCTCCTAAAGCAGCGTTGAAGCATGAACGTGCCTACCATATTTAGGAAAAAGCAAGGGGAAGACAGTTGGGATCAAATAAGGAAAAGATAGGCGAGTAGAAGATGATATTCAAAGGTAACTTAAGGGAAGGATCATATAGAGGCTTTGTGTACATGTGGGCTTTTACTCTGAGAAAAATGGGGAGCAATTGGAGGGTTTTGAACAGGGGATTAACCTGATTCAAATTACACCTAGGCTGTCGTGTTGAGATTAGACTACACATGAAGAGGGTTAAACCAGGTGTAGGCAGTTAAAATGTGAATACAGTTGTGGGTGAGGCAGGATGAGCTTGGATGAAGAAGACAGTAGTGGAGGTGATAAAAGCTAATGAGATTCTGTGCCTGTTTTTAGGGTAAATCATTTAAAATGTTAAATTTGACATGGAGGTATCAAGTTTGCTGTTACATATAAGAATCGAGTTCAGGAGACATATTCTGGCTAAAGACATTAGTTTGAAAATTGTTATTATGTAGACAGTACTTAAAGACATGAGACTGAATATTATCAACAGGGATTGAGCGTACAGAGAAATGGGAAATAACCTACAGATTATATCTGAGGACGATTTAGCCTTGATGTGTCAGAAATAAGTGAAGGAACCAGCAACAAAGTTGGTCAAGAGATGGCCAGTGAGGTAGGAGGAATACAAAGAGAAAGTGCTATCCTAAAGCCAGGATAGAAAATAGGTTAAATAAAATGAGGAGTAGGAGACGGCTTTGAATTGAGCAGTATGGATGTCTTTGGTCATGAGAGTAGCCTTACTAGAGTGGGCAGGGATTAAGTAGAGTGGGTTAGGAGAAGCAAGAAGAAAAGGAAGTAGAGACAGTATGTATAGACAACTCTTTCGAGAAGTTTCACAGTGAAAGGAAATGGAGAAATAAAGTGTCAAAGCTATAAAGGGAATTAGGGTCAAAACACTGCTATTTGTCTAAAGACGGACAGATAATAGCAGGTTTATTTTCTGATGAGAATGATCCAGTAAAAAAATAAAATAAAAAGGAAATATTGATAATGTGAGAGGAAGGGAGAGGATTTCTAGAGTGACATTCTTAAGTAGGTGAGAGTGGATAAGATCTGGTGTACCGAGAGAGGAGCTGGTCTCAGCTACAGAACAGTTCATCCTCAGAAATAGGGCAGAAGTAAGAGCATAGAGAATATATGCTGGGAGGAGGGCAAGTGCAAGGTATCATGTAGAAATTATTTCAATTGTTTTAACATAGAAGCTAATGTTTATGGGTTACTTAATATGTGGTAAAACAGTAAATATTGACTGCATTAACTTACTTAATTCTCACAACACTCATAGGAGTAATTCTACAAAACGAAAGGATGAAGAAGTAGGTAGTTGAGGTTAGGCCCTCTGCATAGCCTGGGCCCTAACCCTGGAGTCTGGCTCCAGAGCCTGCCCTCTTAGAGCCTACCATGCACTGCATCCTTTCTCCAAGAAGAAAACCTTCTCCAATCTTATTCTCCACAAATGTATTTGCTAGCACCTTTTTATCAAAAAGTTGTTTCAGGAACAAATTTGTGATGCTATATGATAACTTCATGCAAACCAATCCCTGAGGTATCTCTTACAGGCTTACTATGGAATTATATGCAGAAATTTAGAATTCATAATTACATTGAAAAATTACTTAACTTTCTCATAAATATGGTGATGTTCATCCCCACAGAGAAACCGAGATAGAGGAAAAGGGAGATGATAGCTCCCATCCTGGGACTTGAGGGCATGTGATTATGGAATGAAATGGCCTAAGAAATGCACTGTTTATATTGTTTGGTTACTTGCCTGCTTACTCAGTATTTATAAGTGAAATCTATGGGCATGAGGTCCTACTGTGTTTGCAGAATTTTGTTTTTACACTGGTGCAACTTTACAATCCATGCATGTAGCAAAATTGGGCTTGTATAAACTTATGCTCCAAAAAACTGACATGCTATATTCCACGTCCTTGAATATTACTAGAAAACTTCTACATTCACCTAGTTTGCTTCAGGGTAAAAATGTTGCACCTCTTCTCTTCTCTGATTGCCTGTACTCTGATACGGAATCAGTCAACTCAGTATCCACTATCTCTCTGCTCAGCCTTAGATGCTGGCCGATATTTAAATGACAGGAGCACACTGATGTAGACATATTGATGATTTCAGGTTGCTCAAAGACCTATGACCTATGCGGCTTATTATTAGATACCCAGCCTGTTTGAGGGCCAGTGTGTGGAGGTTACAGTTTATTTAAGGGCAAAAGGCAACAAAATAAGCCCAGTGAATGTGAGTATGTGACTCCTCCAGTTGACTCATAACCTGAATTTAAAACTTTTGTGCTACAACAAATACAAGGCATGTTTGATTAATGGATTTGGTTCCTGGAAACTGTCTTAGCAGAATTTACTTAAGGCTTTCAACTTTGTGCTACGAAATGAGAAGTTTAACCAGGATATCAGTTGATGCATTTCCTTTGCTATTTTTCTAAGAGCAAGACTGGAAAGTTTTATGACACTGTGTTCTCAGGCTGGCAGGATTTAAACAAACAAGGTTCCCTTGACATGAGGAAAGGTTGCCTTTGTTCTTGTCACAGCCGTTTGTCTTGGGTTGAGCAGTACATTCATTTCTTGTACATCTGGAAGGTGCTAAGATCAGTCATTGACCTCAGATCGTAGTTCAGTGGACACTACACTGATTACATTTTGAGATACATGTTTGTTCTTTATGTGAATGCCCTTAGGGCCTTTGAGGCTGCCCTGAGGTAGAGGCAAGGGAAAGTACCACATTCACATGCTACCTTCTCTCAGGGTTAACATCTTGCTTCTTCATTCACTCTGTCTGATGCCCATTGTTTCCAGATTTGGCCTTGCTTCTTAGCTCTTGCTCTAGTCACGCATCCTCTGTACCATCCTGTCTTTCTCCCCACCCCTATCTACCTCCACTCCCTATCCCTGCTATGGTGACTGCCCATACCTAGACTTCCAGTGGTTTTATTCCATG